TCTCGTAGGATAGAGTTCCGTTTCGTCGCAGCTCCTGCACGACTGTGACAAGCTGTTGGGCGTTGGAGTGGACACCAACCCAGACACCGTTGACGAAGACCTTGGTCGCATCTGGGTTCTGGTTTTGGTCGTACTCTTCCAAAAGCTGCATGTTTCGCTGTGTCATGAAGTCGATGATAGGCGACGCGTCGCTACCGACACTGACGTAGCACATCAAAGACAAGTTCTTGACCAGACCACAAGCTTGTCCTTCAGGAGTCTCGGCAGGGCAAACAAGACCCCAATGGGAGTTGTGAAGTTGTCGCGGCTTGGCTAGCTTGCCGTCGCGACCGACTGGGGTGTTCGTTCGACGCAAATGCGACAATGTGGAGGCGTATGTGTATCGGTTCAACACCTGGGAAACACCGGCCTTTGCGGAAGCGGCCTTCTTCTGGTCACCCCAGTTACCTGTTGCCAAGGAGTACTTCAAACCGTTTGTGATGATGCTGGCCTTGACAGCCATTTGAACGTTGAAGTCCTGGTTGTTCTCAACGCATCGCTGAAGGTACTTGTACACGTCCTTGGTGAGCTTCAGGAAGAGAATACGGAACAAGTTGGCAACCAGAGGTCCAGCGAGATCCAGACGCTTTTTACCGAAGTGGTCACGATCGTCCTCGTCGCGGCGACCCAGCACACACTGCAAAAGGCGGTGGATCATGTAACCAAAGAAGTAGGCCTTGCGCGTGTCCTGACCCTCCTTTTGGGAAATGTGCGGCAAGAATTCTCGCTGCATAATGTCCCTCGCGAACTTGAGACGCCTGTCCTTCGTGCCTGAATTGGCGCCACGCTTGGCAATGAAGTCCAGAGCAGTCTCTCGGTCCTGAACAACGGATCCCTCCTCGATACTGGGCTTCAACAGCTCCAGCATTTGTGTGTCGGTGCGGTCGTAAACGATGTGACTGAGAATCTCCTCGTCGGAGACAATACCGAGGGCGCGGAAGACGATGGCCATGGGCACATCCGCCTTGATGTATGGGAGGGTAGCGTATGCGAAGGGGCCGGGGATACGCTTTCCGGGACCTGCGAGTGAGTTCTCCGCCCATTTGATGTTGAATGATGAGATCAACCGGGTGCCCTTTTCGACTGCACTTCGGATCTCAGCAATCCATGGAATAGGACCCTGCTTCTTTCGGAAGACCTGTACGATGTTCGCGGCACTGCGCTCCTGAGCGATGAGCACTTTTTCACTTCCGTTGATAACGAAGTATCCACCCTGATCGTATGGGCACTCATTCAGAGCGAACAGGTCCGCGTCAGACTGCGCTCGCAAATGGCAGAGCTCTGACCGCAACATGACAGGAAGCTTTCCGATGAAGACTCGCGCCGCAGCGCCATCGTCCATTGGCATGTCTTCACGCTCCCACCGGATCTGCGATGGCCCGCCTGTGTAACCGCCCTCCATCTCCTCGTCATCTCCTTCCTCGGGTTCGCGTCCCTCGCGGGCAACCATGATTCGGTTCTCGATATCAGCCAACATGGCACCAGAGTAGGTAAGGTTCCGTAAACGCGCTTCGTGAGGGTAAAGTTGCACCGTGGTGCCGTCGCCTTCTGTGTGTGTTGGCCGCGCCAGGTAGACGCGCCCGAATTTAATTTCATAGCGGCGCTTGATGATGGGGTTCTCCTCCTCATCGGGGTTGTAGGGCGTATTTTGCTCGAGAATGACGCTGCCGTTTTCTTTTACGATATCCTGAATTGTGTTGCGCGTGAATTCGTCGTAGGAGTCGAGCTGCTGCGAGACCAGACCCTTGGTGTCGAAGAAGGAGCTGATGACCGCCCAGCAGTCCTCGGGCAAGACGCGGTTCTCCTCATCCTCGTACTCGTCCTCCATACCGTCGTAGTCGTACGGCTCGGCCATGATCGCGACTGGGTTGATTAGGCGCGGGGAGGTGAAGGGGGGTGGGTGAGTGCGGACGTGTAGTGTCCTGTCTGTTCGGTATGCGACGGCGGCGACCGCCTCTCAAAGGACGTTCGGTGCTAACTTAACCCGTCTTAGCGCCACCACGCATCACGTGACTCCACTAGCGTTCCAGACTCCATACAGTCCACCCGTGTCTTCCAGTTCTTGCATCCTTCCTATTTCGCGGCAGCTTGCATTTTACTTTCAGATCCCGCATTTCGGGCCCAGACTTCCACTCAGCCCAGTCTCCACATTTGCACTATACTGAACTCTCGATGTTGGAGGCCTTAAACACCAGCACTAGATCCTCGTGTCTCCAATCACTGGTGACCGGACGCTTTCCAATGTCGAGAACTGGTAAATAGGTCTACATACCGCCGACAAGCCACACTTGCGATCTAGCCCTGTAGTCGCGACAGCATTCATTCTTCAAACCTATTCGGGATGCATTATTTTATGCACTAACGCGAAATGTGCTCCATATGTCGATCAGTACATTCTGGGCAGTGCGTGATGGCTCAAGAAGGCTGAAATGGCTGGCTGAACAAAGTATGGGTGTCGCTTTGTCCGGTCGCCAGGTCAAGTTGGGGAAGAACCTAGGGCGACGAGCCTGAAAAACGAAGACAAATATAAAAGCTGTTAATGTGACGATAGGAGCATCAGACACTTTGGAAAGTTCATATCTACACGGTGGTAATATGCATTTGTCACCTACTTTCTTCGCCGGCGCTCTCTTGCTTGTATTTGAAGCTAGTGCAACTGCTACGACAAAGTCCTACGTTACTTGTATCACCAAGCAAGGTCCCAAGCCGGTTGCTACCGTCAAGACAACGTCTCGCATCTTGACGGTACCTTTCTATGGCTTCAAGTTCATAACGAAGACGCCTACATATGTCGTCACGCCTCCACCGGTTACCGCCACGGTCACTGTCACAGCAACGAGCGTAATGACTGAGACTCAGACTCAAGAGACCGACACTTTCTCTGAAACTGTCACGCAAACCGACACAGTCCTAAGAACATCCACGGACATCACCCGAGTAACAGACACCGCCACGCTCACTGTCACGCTTACTGCTGCAACAACGACTGTAGTACCCCCTGCAAATTTCCAGCCCATCCAGTCAACCTTCCCCAACAGGAAGCGAAGATCCGCCAGCCTCCCTGAAGTAGCATCGAACGAATCTGCACTAGAAGAGCGAGGCCAAGCGCAACGTATCATCTTCAACAAAGGCCGGAAACCGACATGCTCACCTCCCGTCTACCCACAAGGAGTGGCTTGTGTCGGCATAGCAAAGGTGATCAGTACGTCGACCATCACCCGGACCGCGAAGAGGACCACGACTGTTACGACATCGGCACCTACCTCTTCGGTCACCACCACAATAACCGAGGTCAGCACGACCACCCTCACTCCCGTTCGCGCATCAACAACAGTCACTGATGCCTACTACACGGCCATCACACAAACCATTGTCGAGCCCTCTACCATCACAACTGTCACTACCCAAACAATTGAAGTAGCCGTACCGGCTTCCACCTTCTACGCCGCCTGCGGTGCCGATAACTTCATCCCCGGTATCAATGGCCAAGTTTTCAGCCAAATCGTGATCGACGACCTGTCGGATCAGAGTGTCGTTGCCGGGTCGGCCTATGAATGCTGCCTGGCCTGTATCTCCACACCTGCCTGTGTCGGAAGCGTATTTCAGGTAGTTAACAACCAGAAATACTGTGATTTCTTCACACGAAATAGTGGTGTTTGCGATGCTGGTTCTCAGGGGGGCCAGATTATCTTGACGGACGGAACACCGGACGGGTCTGTGTTGCTTAGTAATGGGATTTGTGGGAAATACTATGTTTAAGGAGGTTGGTGTTGGTGTTGATGTTGATGTTGCAAGTAGCTACTATGGACACTGTTAGGCGGTCAAATACTGATTGATGAACATCTTGTCATGCTATCACCGCCATCGCTGCGTTCCACTGTGAGCAGTCGAGTCTTTGAGCAACACAACTGAGTAACATAACTTTGCCACACTCCACGCCATCCCTCATACCCCCATAAGTACCCAAGGCGCATATATCCAGCCCCAGTATCAACCATCTTCATGCATCCCATGATACACAGCCACCCTATCCAACACCGTAATCTCCAGGTCCACCCCTGCCTTGCCGAAAGTCTCGCTCACTACCTCCGGCATTATGAACTTGCAACTCGGCCAGCTGGCACGCTCCTGCTTACAACCTCCTCCGTCATGAGCGCAAAGGCTCTCGGTCATGCGAACTCGGCGCAAGCTGCGCAGTTGAAGCAAAGCTAGTATCCATCCAAACCACTTCAGCCTCTCCGGTTCAGACAGCTCCTGGAATTGCCGCATCTTCGTCCCACCCGTGGCGAAGATACCAGATGGGTATCTGAACCAGATTTCTAGTTCGCGTACATTCGGTGGTAAAAGAGTCGTGAAATCGCTCCTGAGCTCAAAGCCCGCGCGGTTGGGATTTGCTGTCAGGCTACCGCATGACATTTCCTCGAAAAACGCGAAAGCCGGCACATGCAGAATCTGCAAGGCGGTAAAATTGGTGAATCTAGTTGGGCTCCAAGGTCTCTGCGGTACTTCGTAGCATATGCCAGGCAAAATAGTTAGTTCTCGTAGCGTCTGTTGAGTCGCCCATAAATTAGCGATGCTGACATCTAGGCCGAGTGAGGGCGCGCCGTCGAGGTACCATGTGAAGCGCAATTTCTCCAGTTGACTAGCAGTGCCAGCTTTCTTCACAGCAGCACGTCCATTGTGTATTGATGGATATGTACACCATTTGTAGTCGATGGAGGTGAGATTTCTGAAGTTGACTGTGTCAAACCATTGGATCGAGGGCGCGGTCCAATTCCCGAGCGCCGCGTGCGTGATATTCTCTCGTACGATTAGTGTTTTGGCGGTGGGCAGACCGAAGAGCCAAGTTGACATGGCTAAGTGATGCTCGGGACAATCAATGCTAATAGGTGTGGTAGTGTAATCTCTCAGCCTGTATTTGACGTTAGCTCCTTGTGGACAATCACATTTGGTCAGTAATCTTACATTTGAGCAATCTCGGATGATGCGTCCATTTGCTCAAACGTTGATCGCGGGTTGTCCAGGATAAAGATAGTCAAGTTTTGTAGATTCGCAAGTTTGGCGAGAATCTCGCGAACCGCGTCTCGTTCGAGGGATAGTTTTCCATATGGGTACGCGCCTTCGAGCTGGCAATCGATTCGTAGCGTTTGTACTGAGCCGGCGAGGTGCGGGGCGGCTGTGAGCGCGGTCGAGAGCATCGAGCAGCGTCCATTATGAACTGGAGTATGTTGCGCAGGTATTTGGATGTCGCGGTAGAGAAGTTGCTGGGCTGATGATTTGAAGCTGCGGTGTGTCTATTAAGCTGTTAGCACAAATAATAACATGTCTTAGTACCACGTTAGCAAAGCATAGCAAGGGGGCTACATACTAGTAATAAGTTAGCAAGATGTCTTAAGAGCTATTCGTGGCGGCTACTTTACCTTTGATCAGAGCAAGCCAGGCATCCTTATCGGCGAGATAGGCGAAGATCTTGTCCAATGTCTCGTTGGCGAAAGTTGTAATCTTCGATTGAGACATGATGTGTTGCAGGCTGTCCTAAAGTCTTCGAACTCTACTAGAGTTACGAGTGTTGAGAAAGTGACTTGAGTAGGTGTGTAAACAGGTGGGGACTTGAGTGCATGTCGGTCGAGTTAAGGCTGGTACCTATAGCGTGGATGCGGTAGCGAAATACGATGTGAAGATGACCATGTTGCAGACCGTGCGCAAATTCCAAGAGTGGCGTGAAAGACCTTGCCGTTCAAGCAATCCACATATCTTGACAGTTTCCCTTCCTCTCCTCCCAGATCTCTCCCTTCATGATCCCATGAACATAAGCATCACCGATAAACTCCCACGTGCCTTCACCCTCCCGCAGTATAAGCGGTGTCATAACGCCCCCAACTAGCACAGCATGATCTCCAAGCCGACATATACTGGGTACCAGAGCATGATAAGTGATCTCGGAGTCTGCAAGATCAACCATTCGTGCGCCCTTGCGATTCAACATATGCCCTACCATAGATCTAAACTGCGCTTCAGGATTCACCCAGCCAAAGCGGCGAAGCATACGCTCAATCAAGACGACCGCGATGTAGCAAGTCAAACAGCCGTGGATATTGAATGTGTAAATAAGCCGCAAGAATCGCTGGCGCTTCTCAAAAGCAGCATAAGCGCTTCTTTTGGCTTCTGGGGTGTTTTGTAGTTCGCCAGCCATGAAGGTCTCGTACATAGCTTCAGTCGCAGACTCGCCTGTCGCAGGGTACACTTGCTTGTCGTGCTGGGGTCGAAAGAGAACCTCCCACTCATGAACTTGATGCATGTTGAATTGTAGTATACTTGCTTGTTCAAGTAACGATTGGCGAAGTGGGGCTTTGTGCGCTAGCCAACGGCGTGGTGTGAGTTGCGTGACCTTTGCGACTGTAACTCCAGACAGCCTCAGCATCTTGGGCAAGTCCATTGGGTAGGTACCAGGGTCTGGAGGTATGTTATACGCCTCAAGACCAAAGCCGGGTTCAAATAAAGAGTTGTCCGAAGCATGGTAGTCGCGCACTGTGTAAGCATCATCGGCGAGCATTTCGGCTCTAACCAGCGACATAGGAGTTGCTTCTGTCCACCGCCAGTCCGGAACCCACGATGGGAGTGCCAGTTTGTATTTCGGATCGCTTTCTTCGAGGGGGGTAGTAACGAGACGAGGCACGTGGAGGATTGCCACTTGCCCCTTCTGAAGCGTGCGCGCAGCCAATCGAGTGTACAGTATCTCCGGCGTAAGTTCCTTGTCGTAGTCTGGCTCGATTCCCACATCTTCCAATGCCTTTTTACACCTCATACCGTAGAAAGCGTAAATCTTGTCCCTAGAATCACCGGCAAAACAAACTCGATGTCTCAGCAGCGTCCCAGGCCAATCGAGATCGACGCCATTGGCGAATTCCATCTCACTAAGCTTCATGAGGATGACGTTGCTTAGCCTAGCTCCTTCATAAAATTCCCACAGCCACAGTTGACTCGTCAACAGATACAGGTATGCAGCCAGCAGCGAATTCCAGGGTATCTTGGCGCTTCCACACATGAACCACACTGAGCTGGAAACCACGACTTCTTGCATGATCCAGGATCGCTCGAAGTAAGGCCGATCCAGCAACTTCAGCAAAGTCTCGAGTGCCGGGTCGCCTACCTTGACCTTGACGCGAATATCTTTCTCTTTCTCTTCCTCCGGTGTCAAAACTATTTGTTTCTGTTCAGCCATTTCTCGTCGGTAGGTTGTGTGCAGTCCAGAAGCGTATTTGAACGCTTCTTCTACCCCCTTCTCTTCCGGACCCAGCCAGCTCACAGTGACAGTAGCCTTCATATAGATCTGTCGCATCTTTGGTACTTGCGCGGTCTTCTCTTCATCATCTTTCTGGTTCAAGCACACGCTGTCGACCCACAGAGTGCGTGCTTTCTGCCAACGCCACCCTCGAATCTCATATAGCAACGGTATCAACGTGCGGGGTATTTCGAGAATATTGTCATTCTCCATATCACGAGGTGGGGCCGCATTGGTAATATGGATGGTAGCGTTGTATGGCTCACGACCCCAGTTGTAGGAGATGGCATAGAACTTTGGAGCTTCTGACAACAATGTTGAGTATAGTCGACCGGTGATGGGGCCACTTGGAGGGCCCCTGTGAACTTCCAGCAATCGTATGTATATATCTTCTGGGTTGTGGAGAGTTGGAAGTGGTTGGTATTGATATGGCATGTTCGTGTGCCAAAAGAGACGAATGGTTCGGACAGGTTGTCGAACACGTCTAGTATGGAAGGTACGTTCGTTCAGATATACCTAATGAGCGCGTCGAAAATCAGGCGCGATACATCCATTGCACTCCCTTGAGGACGCCATCTTCAAAATAAGACCAGCCCAGACCTGCCGAAAAACGCCATATCTTCAGCTTGCTCATTTGTGTACAGAAGAAGTGACGCGAGGCCAGATGAAGATGCACATTTGCGGCTGAAGTTTGCAAGGCCGAACGGAGGCCAATTCATTCGCTTGTTCGGATCCTCGACCCGACAATTGGGGCATGCCAGTCCCCTTTGTGTTCAGCTGGTGTGGTGTTGTGGATAGTCTGGCACCATAGGATATTCTTCAGGAGAAGGGGCGTGTTCCTCGCTTTCGAATGCAGGGCCTTTGTGTGGCTAGCTGTGCGGCTTTGCGCGGCGCGTCGGCGAAACGGTACGTAGCGGATGAGGTTTGCGTGTTGCTTGCGTGCTTGCTTACGAAGGAGCTCGTCTATCCGTTGCCACGCCCTAGGCCATATTCGGCGTAGCGCTCGTGTTCAGGAAATCTTCCCGAGGTCGTCCAAAAGGAAACTCGCGCACTCGAATGATCACGACGCCAATACCAAGAAGTTCGTAACAATATGCTTATCGCGAACAGAACTCCAGTTTACAAGATCTGCTACCCCACAAGTGATGGGCGTGGTGTGGGCCCTAGCGCCCACCCTCCGTCTCCACCTGGAGCACCGATCCTTCACACCCTCACATGGCCCGACTGCTAGCGCCATCGTCCCACCCAAGAGTTCTTGTTCTCCCGTGGATCGAGGTTTATAAGGTTACGCAGCATGTTACAACGCGGGCGCCTTGCCCTCCATAAAGTTTGTCGGCCCTTTCAGCTCTCGACCCCGCGTCACAAGAGCACACCGATGAAACCTGGTTGGCCAACTTTAACAGCTCTGCCCTTGGCTCAGGAATGGAGCACGCTGAGAGGAGCGACGCGTCAAGGGTAGATAGGCCAAGCCCGCATTGGGTGTATCGAGCTGCAGAGCCAGTCTTGGGCTTCATCTGACGATGATGTAGCTACTTTTAAGGTTGGGTCTTCTTCTGTCTCTGCGAATCCGCCCTCCTCCGAGCTGCACGCTCGAACGTGAACACTGCTTTCCTATCTACCCATCCCGTGGTCCTCAAGCCATACGTTCCGTTACTCTGGGGTCACCACATGCGCGCAGTCGGTGATTGCGACACCCTTGGTATGCACGCAGCTTAAATCGGTCGACAAAGGAACTCCAATCCGCCGTATATACGCAACACCTCGAAGTGCGCTCAAGCTTTGGCTCTCTCTCTTCTCTCTGTGTGGATATACCCTACCAGTCTTATTATTATGGCAAACAACACTGAAGAAGAGACGTCGCCGGCGAGTGTAAAGAGTGGTACGATCGTCATCGCGATCATTGTGCCCTCGGTCTTGATCATTTTACTTCTTACGCTGGTCATCATGTCAGTCTCCGCACTGGTGTCAGAGGACCTCATGCATGTCTAAGCTGACGATAGGAACCGCCGCAGGGGCTTTATTCTCCCACGATGCGTCCGCGATGAGTCTAATCACAAAGAGAAGCGCTGGAAGACGCGACAAGACGAGCTGGAGACGCACATCAAATCTCAAAACTTTTATGATTGGCTCGAAAGCCAAAAGGAGAAGACATCTGATTCAACGCAAGCATCCGATCCCCTGTGGTGAGTATGCCAAATAAGCCATGTTCGATGAGCGGACTGGACTGACTGTGTGACAGCGCCATCTGCCTTGACGATTTCGCCGAAGATGCGCAAGTTCGGGGACTTCACTGCTCTCACGCTTTCCACTCACATTGTCTCGACGAGTGGTTCACAAGGTACAATGAGTACTGTCCCTTGTGTCATCGACCGATAATACCCGGGTCTCGGGCAGCGAGAAGAAAAGTTCGCGAAGGGATGGATCCAACCATTCCGGTAGTCTTAATGGTATAACTGCTGCAATGTTCAATGAGAGACACAGTTCAAGCCTCGTGAGGCTCTTGAATCTTCGGAAGATGATGCACATCTCTACCAGATCTTGGCATAGGCTGCTTTGGGCAACCGAGAGCGACCACATCTGCGAACAGGCGGACCAGACCTTAGATCGAAGAGCCCGGAGCGATGCACAGGCAGGGCTTAGACGCAGCGGAGACGGGTTTAACAACGGGTTTTTAGGTGCTTCGCCTATGCGGGAGCATCCGCGCCACAGCCGCGTACGGCTAACGGACGGTTCTCCAGTACCTGCCTTTCCAAATTTGAGAATGCCAGGGTCGGTGGAGTGGTCGGACGGAGACTATGAAGAAGTGGGTCAATATACTCAACCCAAGACACTATGCGTCTTAGGAAGAGCAATGGCCTTCCACTCAAGCGTAATGCTAGCACCACACCGACGAGAGGAAATAATTCGATGGCAATAGTCTAGGGACATGGATAACTGAAGTCCCGGGATATAGGGGAGTAGAGCTCTGTCTACTAGATGCCCGGCATTTCCTTGTCTTGGCGAATTAATTCTCGCTACATCGATTCGAATAGATACAACAAACGAGTTTTGAACCTCTCGCGAAGACTATTTGCGTTTTTTCACTTTCCCTGCAAACAGAGAGGGCATACAGACTTGTTCTTGATTGCATAGGCGCATGTTGAGATGCGGCTGCTATTAGTGGGGCAGCTGAAGCCGCTAACGGGAGTGTCGTTGGCTCCCGCTCTAACATGGTATCGTCTTCAACACACCCGCA